TGTAAATACACCGTCGCCATCAACATGAAATCGAGAGTGTTTAATCGCCGTCGAAGGTGAAGTGCACACTTCAAGCCCATTGCTTCTACATATTGCTGCTGTTGTTTTTATTGTTTTTATTGTTGTTGTTGCTTAAATGAGTCTCATAAATGGTCAACAATGTTGAGAAAGGTAATGTCACCATTCCATTTAAGCCACTGAAGAAGCAACAGTTGTTTGGCAAATCATTTAATTATTGAGACGTGTGAGTGTGTATAGAAACCTTTTTCAAGTTTTTGTTGCTATAAACATTAACCAGCAACATGTTGCCGGAGCAAGTTGTTTGGGCTTTCCTTAAAGAGGCAACCTAAAATTATATCAATATAAAAATTATAAATGTATTTAAAGTGAGACAAGAAATGAAATATAAAAGGTAAGGAAGACTAAGTTCGAGTGGAAGCGAATATTAAACACTCGACTGATATTTGTATTCGAGCTATGAGCAATGAACGAGTGAGCGAGGTCTCGTTGCTCAAATACGCAAGCAGATCGAAAATGTTCGGAAAAAATCTTGAGTAGGTTGGATTCTGTTTTGATAAATCCTTCAAAGTATTCGTGCCTGAGTCAAGCGGAGGTGGAAAGTAAAAAGGGCGTTTATATCGCTGTAGTTGTTGTCCGAACGCGCTCATATTCAGCCAAGGTTGTGTTGTTGTTGTTATAGCCGCAAAAATATTGTTCAAAGTCATTTTTGGGAAATGTTGCGGGAGTGAAAATCCTTGGTCGGATAAAAAATCTGGATCGTTCCGGTATAAAGACCCGACTGTTGCGAGAACTATTAGATTTTAGTCGTCTCTTACGACAGGCATGCCTCACCGCGGGTAAATTCTATGTGCGCCCCTTTCTGTGATATACTTTCTAAAGTAGAGATGGTGATGCCACACCCACCAGAGTAATTTTGTAACATTGTAATTTTCCGCCCTTCGTGATTGTCGGTAACAAATATGACTTTAATTTGAACTTTAACTACTAAGTTAAGGGGATTATCGTACATTTCAAAATTACTTTGCAATATAATCCGTACTTGTGATCCAAGGAATTAAGTTTCAATCAAATATCTCAATCTCTATTTGGCTTATCGTGTTCACGGACAGACACACGAAATGATTATTAATTATTATTAATAGATTTAGAAATGTTTCTTAGTATACGATAATATTCCTAATTCCATCTCTAGTGTCCACACCGTCCACCGTGAAGACTTGAGCAACACTCTTGTAAGATGCGCAGGCCAACCTATGTGAAGCCTTTGCTTACATTTTCAATGTAGCCAGCAACGATCGGCATCCAGACTGTGCAGAACCTACATTCCTACATTTCCGATCAGTAGGTTGCAAACTACAACTCAGTCGCACCAGCGCTTTCGCTTATCATAACTTCGAGATTCGAATGTGGCTTTATCGCGAGAGAAATCGTCCGGCTGTGTAATCGCCCATCTTAGCGATGTCAATTGACCAACGAAATTCGTGATTTGATACCGTTAGATTTTTGTTTTTGTGGAGCTGGGCAAAGGACCGTTTTTATTCGGATAAGCCTGAGCACTATAAAACCAACTTTCGTCAAGTTATGATAAAGACACCGCCATTATGTGCCAAAAAGAGGGCAAAAATTACCTCAAACGGATCAAAGTTCGCTTTCGAAACCGGAAAATATATTTACCTGTAGTCACTTAAAACATCAGTGATGTTATCGATCGAAGTCTTAACAGATAGACCGCGCTCTCTAAGAACTAAAGTGCCCTGTTCGTGATATGGTATATTATCTTTGGTCGGAATAATAAGAAAGTGCCAGAAGAAGAAGAGATGCATCCATCAAATTTCCTAATGATCGGATCAGAAAGACGATTTGAGTTAATTTAGCATTGTCCGTCTGCCCGTCTGTTTGCGCTTGGTACACAGATTGAAGAGATCTTTTGTTGGAACTAGTGAAAAAATTCGTCAAAAAAGCATCTCAGAACTTGATGTTCTATACACCCTGATTATCAGATCATGACTCTTTTTATCCATGCCATATAAAAATTTCAAGACAACCAACCCCCTTTGAGTCTCCAATTATAAAAGAACATTTGCATTTACAATACTACACCAAAGCTCAGCATTAAGTCTCCCTACATATTTAGCGAAGATGTTCCTCGCTCTCTAGCAACACCAAAGTCTCCACTGAGCATTCAACTCACCCACACATCTACGTTAACAAACTCAGCTGTATACTCATAAGCGTCAAGCGCTTCTTTACGCTCATATTGTTTTTTGTTGCTCAGATTCTGCAACAATTGCAACTCCAGCTGCTTTTCGGGCTGTTGTTGCTGCTGCTGCCAACTTTGATTGCTTCGATGGGCTTGTTGTTTTGCCTACCATACAAATACTCAGTGCTAGCACCAACACCACAGTTCATAGGTATCTGTTGCTGACTGTTGGCCAGTTTGTTGCTCACTTGGCGACCGCGACTACGACAACAATGATCAACGAGTATGCTATGCTCGCGGCATCTGCTTGAGCATCTTACGCTGCCTTCTGACCTAATGCAAGTAGATGTGTGTGTGTGAGTGTGTGTGTGAGTGTGGAAGATGGTGGCGGCACCTTGTGAATTTTTATGCCCAAATGTGCATGAATGAAATTTCAGTTCTTGACAAAACATCGAAACGAACGGTAGTGCGCTGCCAAATAGCTCGCTCGGTGCTCGCGAAAAAGTTGATAAATGAAATAAATAAAAGTAAATTAAATATATTTTCTATTAATAAGCAAGTAGTGAGATATTTTGTTTGGAAACATTTTCTATTTAAAAAAAAAATGTGAAACAATTGAAGTGTTTAAAATTCGTTACATTTGCATTATTTATTTTAATTTTATATTTTTGAATTAGAAATTTAAAAAATAATTTTGAAAAGAGAGTGCACATTTTTTCGTACTTTCAATATTCGTGTACTAGTGACCTAAATCGTCTTGTTCACCCTACTGCCATACCAATCGCTGATACTGCGTCGACGCTGAACAAAACTTTGCACAGTGGGGCATTTTTTTTTGATTTTGTGCAAAAAACCGCAGGAAGTCGGATTTTTATGGAGACTATTTTTTTTTAACTAATTTCAGATGCGAAAATTTTGTTAACAAAGTCCAAGCTGAAAACAAGGTTTTATTCTAGTAAAGCGCAAAATTCTTGGAAAATTTTCCAAGAAAGGAGTTAAAAGTTTTTTAAGAATACAAAAATAAAATAAAATAAAGTAAAATTTTAATTTATCAACAAAAAAATTAAAATCATATTTGCACGTAGGCGTAAGCTTTTTAAAAATGCGTAATTTTCTAAAGACATTTCATTAAAGACATAAAATAAATAAAATTAAATAAAATCCCATTCGAATATTATTTCATTTACGGCATTGATATTTATGTAGAGAATAAAAATAAGAAGAGACACTTTGTCTTTAAACATGCACGATTTATTTTTCATAATAAAATAAAGCAATAAAAAAACTATAATAAAAAATTATGTCCTGTGCGACAGAAATTCTAAAACTCCTATTGACTTGAGGCATTACTGCTTTTATTTAAAGAAAACTATCTCCAGAGCGACAAAGCATAAAGTTTAGTTTTAATAAAAAAAAAATTAAAAATAATTTGTTGGGAAAATCAAAATTTTTTTGGAGATAAAAATTCTAAAACTCATTTAGACCTGAGTCAATTTTGTTTTCTACTTCTCCCTGTGTCCCGTGCGAATATCGGATTTTCCCTAGAAAAGAAAGTTACGCTAAATCAAACCCAGCAGGTGGTATAAGAGCAATAATCTGTAGTTTTAAATTTACTCTGGTTTCAAAATTAATATAACGACTGTCCCATGCGACATGACGAGAGTGCCCATATATGTATGTATGTACGCTTTAAATATTAATACGACATTTCTTTTTTCAAATGAAAAAAAAAACTCTACTATCAGTTGATTGTTCCAGTTATTTTACGCAAAATCTCTTCAAAAATTTCCACTGTAACCTGCGACGTGTGATCGTGTGTGTGTTTGTGTGTGTATTTGTCTTGTCTTACCCCAAAAATGGAAATGGATAAAATGAAAAATCGCATTTTTGTGCAAATGCTAACAAGTTTTCCTTGGCAATAATGTTTTCGCAGCGCCCACAACAGAACGCAACAACAACAGCAACCACAATAACAACAATAACAAACAAGTAATCAAGCGCAATGCAACACATTCCGTCTGTCCGCCAGTAAATTGGCAGACAAGAACGCTCCTCATTCGCTCATGTGATCGCATCTTCAACGCTGCCAGCTCGTGCTGCTGCCGCTGCTGCTGCCGCCGTTTTCAACGACGCGCGCCGCTCAGTTTGATGCTGGTGGTGTAATGTCGTGTATGGTTGCAATTGTTATTGTTTTTGTGGTAGTTTTTAGTGTAACTTTTCAGTTGCATTCTTGACATAAGCAGAATTGCCAAAGAAGTCGATTCATCGACTTGAATTCGCTCGCTGTGATCTTTTGCTCTTTAGCCGCTTCGCGTGGCTCAACAACAATGAACAATGGGGATGCACGCGGCAGAGGCTTAAGAGGCGGCAGCAGCAGTAACAGCAGCAGCGAAGATGCTAGTCACAAGTAAAAATTTCAACAAAATTGTTTTTTTGCTTTTTATTTTAGAAATATTTATGTGATAACCAAATGTGTGAACGAGTTTCTTGAAACATTTTTATATTCTTTTGCTTTCTTGTTTCCTCTTCTCTCTTTCGCTAGTTGTCTCATAGTTTGCATGAATTTTTACTTTAAAACTGAGCTTAAAAAGGAGGTAAATTTATGAAAACAAAATACTTTTAGCTATTGGCTGTTGAAAGATACCTTTTTTAATGTTGAAAAGAAAAAATATTTTTTAAATTAATTTTTAATTATTTTCATTTTTAATTATTCTTTTGTTTCTTACAATTGCGGCACAAATAATTCATATTTGCATGTTTATGCCTGTGTATTTCTGCGTTATTGACTGTTTTGCTGTTTTTGTAAGAATTCACAAGAACAATAGACCACGACGGTATATTAAAAAAAGTGCTAAATTGTCTTTCGCGCGCGCGTAAATAATCTTTTCTTTTCTCCGAGGGAGTGACTACGAAAAAGTGACGTTATTTATAAGAAACAATTTACTTTAAAGTTTTTGTTTTCAACGAAATTTTCAGAAGCAATACATCAACGCTTCGAAAATAAGCATATTTTGTTAGTAACGAATTTTTCAAAGTTGACTGGAAGTTTTTGTTAAAAAAAGGTGAGAAAATATTTTATATGAGTCATATTTGAATTTAATAGATTTACTGCCCCTCCTCTATTCAAATGTATTATAACTCTAAATAAGCAAGTTTCGCGCAGCTCATTTCTCGCTCGATACCCGTTTTTAGCTAAACTGCTCAAATGTTTGCTGGAAAGTTTTATATTTTCAATTTTGTAAGTCCTTTAATAGTATTTTAATGAATTTTACACTTTGCATAAATAAATTTAAAATAGAAGAAACAAAGTTCTGAGGAAAAAGTAAATACTTTTAGTTCATAATACTCGAAAAAACTCGAATTACGCGACGTCGTGCTCCAAATTTTTCGACCAATGAGCTATAAACGCTCAGTACGCGAGTACTCGTTGCTCAAATGCTCGAGTTGCTCCAAAATGTTCGAATGAAAGCTTGACTTCTAATATGTATATATAGTATATAGAATTGAATTTTAAATGAGTTAAGGGCTTACAAAGGTTTTAAAACTTCAAAAAATACTTTTTTTTGATCATTTTTTGTGTAAAAGTACAAAGTGTCAGGGATATTTGCATTAAGTTTCAAGTCGATCGAGACGAAACTGTAGAAATTAGAGTTTTATAACCCGCCGTTGTTGTCATGGCTTGACCGATGGCGAAACTTAAAACGCGTTAAAACCACTTTATCGAAATCGGTAGTCAAAATTTGTCAATGACTATTGAAGCCATCGAGTTCAAATTTTCCACACTTCTTCTTCTGTAATCTCTGAACGAAGAATTTATTTGATCTTTAATTTCAACTCATTTTACAAGCCAAAAGGTGGCCTAATTTTATGCAATAAATGACGTTTTTTGTAAAAACGCTACAAAAAATACAATTTGTAAAATTTTTAATTTTTCTTCGTTCAGGGACAAGGATAATTCACATACTTTAAGAAAAAACTTGAATTTTTGACTTCAGATAAAAATTGAAAAAGTTAACATGACAACCGCGAAAGCACTTTCAAGATGTACGGTCAACTTCACGACACTGTCAACGGCCTAACTTATACTATTTTTCATTCAGATATTCATCAAATATTGCCCACATATTGTACTTTATTTAGTATCTTTAAAAAAATTAGAGAAAATTAGTTTTTTTTGGCCTTCAAGACCTATGTAACCCCTTAAATTGGCTCAGTCCATAAATATAGTGATAAAAATATTCTTTATTCCAAAGTAAGTGTACAGGAAGTGGGGTTGAAAGCTTTTGAATAATAATTGTTATTAAAAAATACTATTATTTAAATTGTAATACATATTAATATTCATAACTAGTTTTTTTTTTTTCAAAAAAAAAAAAAAACAAAAGAAAATAAAATAAATTTTCAAAATTAGTTTTTTTTTGGAGAACGCGAAAATTATTATTTTGTAAATTTTAAGAAAAAAATAAACATTTTAGAAAAAAGCATGAATATTTTTGATTATGTTTCTTTACGTTTCTAAGTGTTCCTATATTCATATATGTATGTAATTTCTTCCTTAAAGACATCTACAAAATATATACATTACATTAATTCTAAAACTTAAATCACTATATATCAACCATCCATTTTGCGGCTTCGAAATAGATGTTTATAAAGAGCATTTAAAATAAATTCTCAGTCATAACTTGACGTTTGTTTGTTTTCAAGCGCTCAAGAGTTAAAAGTTTATTCGCAGAAAGACGGTTTTTCATGAGTCCGCAGGGAAAAAAGTCCAACGGTGTCAGAAATTTTTTTTTCGAAAAATCGCCGTCGACTCCAAAACCAAGTGCAATATATGCCATAATGTGGTCATTCCTTACCTGACCTTAACCTGCATCATTTCGGGTTTACTCCTTCTTTTCTCAAGTAACATATGGTCTACCTCAAGGCGGCCGCCTCAGTCTCTTACTCTTCCTTATATGCATCAATGGCCTTTCAAATGTGGTCCCCTAATGTCCATAAATTTAAATAAGCGCAAATAAATTGTGTTTCTCGAGAAACTCTTTCCAATCCTTTGCCTAAATTACTTCATCGATTGAAGTGTCACAATGGAATTTAGGAATAATATAAATGTTTCTTAGCATTCATTAAACCTTGGGCTAGGAGGTCAATGGCCCATACATTATCAAATTATTCTTCACTTCACTTGTTAGGCCCATTTTGGATTATGGCTCAGTTGTATGGGGTCCGCACTATCATATGTGTATGGTGATAAATTGGAGTATGTACAAAAGCAATTCCCACTCTCTGCGTTCAGAAATTTAAACTGGGATGTGAATAAGATGCTGCCTTTCTTAGAAAAGCCTTTAACGGCTGATTGATCTCCATAGTTATAGAAAGTTAATGGGAGTTTTATTTTTAACGGAAATTGAGAAGAGGTGTTATCAATAACCTCCTCCTACTTAGCTTTACCATCCACTTAAGATCATTGAAACACTTTAGCACCCCTTCACGGTATTCTTGTACAAAAAATTTTGAAATGTACAATCCTTTGAGATGTTTGTACAACGATAGTTAAACTCATTTCGCCAAATTGATTCTCCTGACTGGTTTCTCTAAATCAAAGCCCACTTGCTAAGAGGTTTAAATAATCAAATAATTTCCTTCTCCTTTTTACATTTAATTTATAGTAATTTATGGGCCAATCTGTAGCTGTTTATTGTAGGAAACAAATCTATAATCGCGACCTGCCACACTCGGCCCACGGTCTGTTGAATATTTCGCCTATCTTACAGGCGCACGTCTCTTGAGAACGTCGATAAATGGACATCTTCGGGTCTGCGGCTACACTTCCACTCACAAAAGCGTTATTTGAAAAGCAACGATCAAAATGATGATGCAAAGGCATCATATTATCAGTACAGTCTTTCACAAACCTTTAAATTTTTACCAATTGCTTGGGAAGTTAGACGTTTAAGTGCATCCTAAGCTCCTCTGAAAGCACGTAACTTGGTAATGGTGGAATCACCAGATTTTTGTTGGAGGTTTCAATAATTTTATGGCGTTGTGCGTTGTTAAACGATGCATTTTCATAAATGCCCGACTTTTAACTAAAACAAATCCGATCCCTGTCATAAGAAGTCTGATGAGGAGATGTGGTAATGAAATCAAAATACGTTTGGTTTGACAGTTATTTTTGATGGAGATATAAAAGCAAAAAACGCTGCACTTTTGAAATCATGAAATGCAATATCCCTTATAATAAATATTAGTGTTATCGTATATAAATGCGACCCTGCGGAGTATTAAATTTACAACATTCACATCAAATAATAGTAATGTTTAATGGAAAAAATTCTTTTCGAATATAACAATAGCCAATTTATTTTAATATTATTGACAATTCTGAATTGACACGCACATGACTTTGCTTTTGTTTACATACACGTATGTATGTATATATGTATAGATATATATAGACTTATTTGCAACATTTGCCAAATACAATTTAAAAACTCTCTAACGTAATAAATGACGAAGCAAATTAAATGAAGAGCAATAAAAATAATTTTACGGAAAACTTATTACAACTGCGCATAAATCTGTAAAAGAATGGCAAATTATTTTAGTGTTTAATATTTTTACTTTTTCAGTGAAACATGTATGCAAGCTAAGCCTGTGAATTTGGCATTTTGTGCTTTCTCAAGAGAGATATTCAGTAGTTATTTTTTGATTAATAAAGGAAATTGAAAACTGAGTTTTTTCTCATTATTATTTAGAGTTGTATTAAAAAGGTTATATTTATGTAAAAAAATAAAAAATCCTTAATATTATTGATATGTATATTTAATTATTTAATTTTATTTGTTTTCAATTTATTTTAATTTACCTCATTTTAGTTTATTTTATATTTCCTTTATTTTATTTCAGCTCCTTTTTTATTTTGCTTAGTTTTACATAATTTTTCATTTTATTTTGTGCATTTCTTCTTAATTTGGTGGTCTTAATAATAATTATAATTTTGTTTTTTTTTTTTTAGTTAGGCTTACATTATTTTTTTTCAGCATCCATTAGTTTTATTTAATTTTAACTTAGTTAATTTTAAATGATTTAGTTTTGTTTAAGGTTCCTCTTAAAACTTGTTTTTTTTTTTTCAAAAAATTTTATTTATTTAAATGAAAATATTTTTAAATCGAAAGATTTTGTAGATAAGTAGACGTATGAAACTATTAATTGAATCATCTGAAAACAAAAATTAAAACGGTTTCTTAGACTGTTTAACATTGGCTGCGGACCGAACTACAATTACACATTTAAAAAAAAAAAAAATGGCTGACCCTTTTTTCAACTGCTTATAAATTTAAAAAAAAAAACAATAACTATTTATGGTTGTAGTACCGACTATAAAGAGACATTTTAGAAGTAAAACGCCATTTCGTTCACGTTGATAACTTCAATAGTGTCTCAACTTCATAAGTGTCTCACCAAGTTGAAAGAACGTGGTTTCGAGGAAAAGACGATTACTCGAGTACTTTGAGCGGCCAGACTTACCGCTTTGCGCGAACTGCTCTTCGCTCTTCTATACTTACCTCTTGGCCTTGCGGACTTTCGGCACTAATTCTATCTTTTCTCTGAGATTTTTCTCTGGTAATTTACACGAAAAATCAATTCGGTTTTTTTTTTTTTTTGATAAATTTGTAGAGGAACCTTGCCCTAATATTACATAATTGTATATTTAATTTTATCATTCTATATATTATTGTACTTATTATAATTTAATTTAAATCAACTTAATTTTATTCATTTTCATTTTATTTTATTTCACTTTATTTTAATTTTATAACATTTAATTATAATTTTTTTAATATACTTTTTTAAATTTTAAATTTCATTTTTTTATTTAATTTTTTTTTAATTTTTTTTAATGATATATAAATGTATATATAAAGAAGATTTGCTATTAAAATCCGAAATAGATATTATACCTTTTTTTTAGTTAACTTGCGATTAAGTAATATATTTTTTTATGCAATCACACATTTTGTATGTATGTATTTTGTATTTATACATGCATGTATGTATT